TGATGTTTATATTCAAATGATCACCAAATATAAGAATTCCAGCAATGTAAATTATATTCTGACCGTAATTTGTATGAATTCTAAGACTAAAACAAATATCTTCTGTTAATAAAAAATATTCTTCATTTAATAACTCATCTGTCAATCAAGTACCTACTTTGCCTTCCTTCCAACCCAGCTGGTCAGTTCCAACCCTCCCCCACCAATCCCCCTTCAAGAGAAGAGCAGGAAAAAATAAATTTTAACATTTTGTATTAAATAATAATTTCAGATTAAAGTTAGGATAATATAATTGACATTTCTGATTCCTGAAGACCAGGAATATTTGAATATAAATGTCATATATTTTGCACAAAAGATAACATAGTTACCCAGAGAAAAATATTTATCTAAAATTTGAATGTCTAATGCAAAATATATGATGTTTATATTCAAAATGATCACCAAATTATAAGCAATTCAATGTAAATTATATTCTGGCAGGTAATTTCAGGCGAATTTTTATGAGCTAAACAGGAAGTCAGCAGGTGTGCGGTAAGTAAATTAAAACAGCTACGAAAAGGGCACTAACACAAGATATGTGGAAAAAATTCGTGTTAAGTGAAAGTTCAGCTCTGGCGAGGCACCGCGTATATCATAAAAAGCGTAAAGTGAAACCGCGTTAGGCGGGGTAATATTGTACAGTAATTTTTATTAGAAAAAACATCCCTCCCGCTGAATGAGTGTTACAGTGAAACATTGTTCTGAGAGGTAGTGTATTTATATTGGCTAAAACTATCAGGAATGAAATCATGATGCTACACCTTGTCCAGAAATGTTTGAAAAATTTTGAATAGGGATGCTTCATCCAATATTTCAAAATGTAGAACATGATAAATTAAGCTCCCTCAGACCTGATGGTTGGCTTTTGATGGCTGACTATCTATCCAGCCACTGACATATAATGGTAAACTTGATATAAGCTGTGACATTTCTAAGAAATTTTAAAGTTCTGCTTTATTTTTCATTCTCAAAGATATGCTAATTTTCTCTGGGAACACAGGTCTGTGTTGTGATCAGAATGGCACCTCAGAGAAAAATTACTTTACAGTACAGTAATGTATAGTACATATGATAAGAGCACCTGATATAGATTCTACAGAGAACAACTGTACTGTACAGGTCCCCCAACTTACGAACACCTGCCGATATGAATGGGGTTAAACTTGAAATTTACAGTACAGTACTGGTATTTTATTTACCTGATGACTTATTTTTTACTTTCATTTACTGTATTTTGTCATTCTATTTCTTCTTTTGTCTTAAATTGAGTGATTTTAGATGTATAGAAGGACTTAGACTATGATATACTGTAGTGGAATTTAAACATTGTTCTTTAAATACAGTATGCATATAGTATGTGTTCCGACTTACGTACTCATCTGACTAAAGAACGTCCTCAGGAACGGAACCCTTTCATAACCCGGGGACCCCCTGCACTGTACTACTTTATCCACAAATCTAATCAAATCATTACTTGTTATGGATACATTACAAAGACTTACTTCAAGGATATCAGAGTGTTTTAAAAGGGCTGTATTGCCAAACAGAAGACCCTTATTATTGACACCAGTCACATTAGGTCCAAGCTGCCTCACAATCACAGTGTATGACGTATAATCTGCCAGCAACTCAACTGAAACATGAAGCAAATACCTGGCTTGAGGTTTTTTGTTTATATATAAAATAACTTCATTTTGCTAATACACCCCATACTGTATACATTATTGCACCCTCACTAAAAAAAAATATTCTGCACCCGTGGCTCTGAAACCATCCACAACGATCACTGTGACAGAAGCCGTGATGAATGTTATCAGATTACTTGGTCTGGTGTGTCATTGTATAACCCCATAGAGGTGCAGAATAATCTTTTAGTGAATGTAAACAATACATAATCTATTATATTCTGAGCTTCATAAACCCACAAATAAAAAGACTATACTATACTATACAATTTGTTAATTTTTCACTCAATACTGTACTGTACAGGCAATCTCCATTTTTGAAGATTTCAGTTATGAAAATCTGAACTTACAGCTAATTTTATTTTAAATGTTTCAATTTACACATGAAAAATCTAAATTTGAGAATTTTCTCACTTTTTTTTTAGTTTAATAATAGTACTGTACAGTATTGTATTGGAAGATGCTGAGGTGATGTCATAAACATCTCTGGGCTACCCATACTAAACCTGGTCAGTTTATAAAGATAAACTAAAAACACCATACAGTAATGTATAGTACTGTATTAAAAGTGGTTACCTAAGCTAAAATAAAATACATGCACCTGTGATGCAGTGGTAAGACACTGACTGAAGATTACAAGATAACACTCCAGGAGGTTAGGTAAGTTTTCTAGAAAAAAAAAGCTAATTTTCACAAGAAAATTAATGAAGGTTATAAGTGAGTAAAATACACCAGAAAAACAGCTTCTCATATCAAAGGAAGGGAATGGGTGAAAAAACTAATTACTCAACCTTTTTTTTTCTTGATATTCATGAGGTAAGAAACACGTATTCTTCTATGGACTTTTTCTAAAACAGCTCCTTCTAGCAGGACAAACTACTGTAACTGGTAAACTATTAACCAAAATATTTTGAGGAAAACAACAAATCGGTAAATGTGCATATTACAGCAACCATGGAATTTGAATAATAAAAAAATAAAAATGATGTGATTAGTTCAAATCTGACCTTCGTTTTTGTTGGAAATCACTCGTTTGTGATGTAGATCCCCCCCCCCCTCATATAGTTCTCTTGGTTGTGTGTTCTGAATTCCCGGTACTCTGTGCTTGCTTACTTATACCCTATAACCAAACTTAACCTTACCTAACAACCTAGCCAAGGGCTCTGCCCCCAGACCCCCGGTGATCCGTAGTCGGGGCTTCGCCCCTGGACCCCCAAGCGCTATGTAATAACCCTAGAGTCGCGTGGTCAGCCTCCATGAGAATACTGTACAAATAACCGTTAAGTATTTCTTACCTTACTCCGAGTCAGAGACCAGAATACATCGTGGGTTCCTCTGTTCTCTAAAGTTTCCTTATTTTTAGAATGAAATAATACGATAAACTTCCAATAATCAAAATCACACCCAGGACATTATGGCTCCATGTTGCAACTGATTAAAAATGTCCTGCATCTTAGCACCCACGCCGAATATTGAATGCTAATTGGTTGAATCAAAAGTTGAGATTTTGGGGGGGATTTGGTTGGCTGCCACCCTTGCCCTAGATTTGATTGGCTGCGGCCACCCCCGATTTGATTGGCGGCCGCCCCCCAGCACATGCGATTCAATAACTTCCTTATTATTAATTTGCGACGGAAGTGTAATATAAGAAAATTATCATAGAAAAAATAGTTTTATCGATTGAGTGTAGTGTATTGTGTGGTTGCTGTAAACTGCATAATTACAAGCAAATCCACATTACTATCTTGGGATATTGTTGAGGTAAGAAATAAGTTATCTTCTACGGAAATATTGTTTAAACTGTCTAGTTAATCTGTTTCAGATATTACCGTAGCTTGTTCTTCAATGTCATGAGAGAGGTGTATAAATGAAAGTCAGGGCTGAACAAAGGGGACATTACAAAGCCGGTCCGACTAATTACCCAAATGTACCCAAATATAGCCGCAATGAAGTCAAATAATGGTCCTACATGAATAAATCGGACTGCTAATCACTTCTTGACTAGTATTTGGTGTCAGAAAGTCACAAAAAATTGGAAAACTTACTTTAATCGGAGTTAATAGATCGCGTGCATGTACCGACGGAGCGAGGAATTACCCAAATGTAGCCGCAATGAAGTCAAATGATGGTCGTACAAGCATAATTCGGGCTGTGAATCACTTCTCGATTATTATTTGGTGTCATAAAGTCAAAAAAAATTGGTAAACTTAATTTAATCTGAGTTGTGTTGTGTTAGGTTAGGTTAGGTTAGGTTAGATCAGATTAGGTTAGGTTAGGTACATGCACTTGATCTATTAACTCAGATTAAATTAAGTTTACCAATTTTTTGTGACTTTCTGACACCAAATACTAGTCGAGAAGTGATTAGCAGTCCGATTTATTCATGTAGGACCATTATTTGACTTCATTGCGGCTACATTTGGGTAATTAGTTGGACCCTTACAAAGGTACTCAAACTATCCAACCAGGTGCAAAATCATAACAATGGTTTTAAATTAGACAAATTTAAACTTAAGGAGCAAAATAGGTAAACATTGGTTTGGAAACAGAGTAGTGGATGAGTGGAACAAGTTACCAAATATCATCATTAACTCGAATATGTTGAATAGCTTCAAACATAGGTTGGGTGGATATATGAGCAATAGGGGTTGGGTGTAAACGGGACTGCCCAGTATGGGCCAATAGGCCCGCTGCAGTTTCCTCTATTCTTGTGTTACTATGCATACCCAACATCTTGTACAACTGAATCTCAGAAAACAGTAAAAAAAAATAACAATAGGAACTTTTATTCCTTCTTATATATTCACTTAAAACAAGTCTTTGATCAGATGAGGGACCTCTGGATTGATGTAAAATAACAGTACGTGGCTTTAACACACAAAACAACCCATTTACCAAGACTTACCTCGCACCTCTTCACCTGTTTGGGCCAGTCACCAAGACAACTACCTGGCCCCCACCCCCCACACGTCTTACCTTGAGTTTTAGAGCACCGCTTTGACTTAATTTTAGTTTCCTTGGACCGTCCAATAACGTAGCTTTGATTGTGTGGCAATACGATCGGTGGGTGGAGATTACTCAGACATTTAAGAACACATTTACGAGCCATTGTGTGATTTAAATGTTTGTTGTGGGCGTTTATCACCACAACAACCTGGCCCTGTTCAACATGTGGGTGACCTTTAACAATGATGATAATGATGATAATAGACAATATGGGTAAACGTTTTTTTATCTATCATCTCACCACTTATTATCAGCTCACTTCCCGTTCGAGTATTTGGTCTGTTCTTTGTTACGTGTTATTGTTACTATTACCTTGCCATGGACTTTATTTGTCGATTGTTAGTACAGGAGGAAACTAGAGTACCCGTAGGAAACATTTGGTGAGGTCATTACAGGTACAGTATAAGGTGTACTGTACTATATACACTACCTAGACGAATTACAGGCCGAAATTTACAAAACTAATGCATTATGGGCTATAATTATGGTACTTATAATTATAAATGTACTAAAGTAAGTCCTCTCCACCTAAGAAGTTACATCCCTTAGCGAGCTCAAGGGAGTCCCCCGCTGAACCTGGCCACACCATGGTGCAACATGTAGAACATTTTAACCCAATTTTTTCGTAGTGATGCTTTCCTATATTTATTAATTAGTCTTAGAATATTAATAATTTTAAATTTAAAGTTTTCATGATATAATTTTCTCTATTATTTCACGTAGAGATATTTGATTGTTGAAGTACATCATAGAGAAGTGACTTTGCCCCATGCGGTAAACACTCCCTCCTGCTGATGGTGCCGGAGCTGCTGAAGCATGTGGCTGAGTTGACCAGTTAAATTGTTGTGGATTTTCAGTTAAATTGCTGATGTCACTTAAGAGGAATATAAAGTAAAGGGAGCACATTTAAAATGACGGAAGAGTACGTGCACTCTGTTCCTGTGCCACAGTTGTACAAGGAAGCCAGCAAGATATTGAAGAGCTATGAAGAGAAACAAGGTTCACTCAAGACACTAGTTTACAATGGAAAATATAGGGTAAATTTGCACTAGTGCACGGGACTCTGTTATAAAGTCAAAACTATGTTTTTTTAGTGTATTTTTGTGTGTTTTGACCTTGATCTCCGTCGGAAATTGCCTGGTTTTTTTGTTTTTTAATGAGGGTTTGGGTGAGGCGTTTTCCGACCAAAATTATGACTAGTCGAATACAAAATACACAAATAAACACTAGAAAAACTGGGTAAATTTATACTTCCACCTCCCCATCTGTTAGAAAGTTAAAAATATATGGTAAATTTTTCTTGTAGCTCCGTTCACTTGTAGCAAGTTAAAAATATATTGTTCTAGTGTATTTGTGTGTGTTGAGACCGAATATGACCTTCCTTACTGGCGGAAGTTAGCCTGTTTGTTTTTTTTAGCGATTTTTTTTCGTTTGACGTTTTCCGATAAAAAAAGGTGCCTAAGCGACTAACAAATACACAATAAAACACTAGAAAAACAATAACCAAACCTAACCTAACCTAACCTAACTCACTCTCACCATATGATGGAATCACCTATTTCTTACCTTATTGGCCTGGTTCTTGTTCGTCGTTGCATTCTGGGATTCTTATCCAACGCCACATATGTTGGTCTATACGATATTTACATTCCGTCTTGCTCTTAGTACACTTTAATGAGGTTGGAAGAACACCATGCGATCGAAAAAATGCTACAGTTTCTACGTTATTTTTTTTTTCAAAAAACTCGCAATCAGCTCCATATACTTGAAGTGACACTCATCGCAGACTTCCATGGACGGAACTGAACTTGAATTTCGAAATATGAGAGACCCAAAATAAAAATCGATTTTGATTGGTCCAAAAATACCACGAATTAAACCCAAAATAATTTTAATTGGTTGCCCCCACAAAAAAAGGCTTTTGATTGGTCGTGTGACGTGGACGGGAACGCATGCGCGTGATGATTTATGAAGGAGACACGCAGTGTTGGAGGAGATGCAAACGATAATGGCGGAAGATTAATGGAAGAAAATGGAGAAAACTTTGGATTTGCTATCTCCGTTAATATACATTTCCGGCAGTAACGTAATAGATGAAAATGATCTTATAATTAGACGTCTTATTAGAATATGATAATAGATTAGTGGTAGGAAATGGGAATGTTTAAAGAAAATAATACCAAAACAGGCATATAAACCTAGCATAACCAAACCTAACCTGATCGTTGTTCGATTCTGAGATTAGTACAGCTGAAAATGGCACTTTTCTAAAAATGTTCCTTTGTAATTACTGACAGTGTCTTGGGAATAAGGAAAGAGTTACCACAATGCCACGTATGTTGGTCTTGGCGATATTTACATTTGTTCTTACACTTAGGACACTTTACTGAGGTCGGGAGAACACCATGAGATAAAAAAAATGATGTAGCTTGCTTGTTTTTTCCCAAAAAAACTCGCAATCAGCTTCATATAATTGAAGTGACACCCATCGCAGACTTCCATGGTTGGAAATGAATTTGAATTTCAAAATATGAGAACCAAATTAAAAATTGAATCTGATTGGTCCAAAAATACTGCGAATTAAAAAACAAATAATTTTAATTGGTGGGAAAAAAAAGACGCTATTGATTGGCCACGTGACGTGTTCGAGAACTCATGCGTGTGACGATTTATGAAGGAAACGCACAGAGTGGGAGGTCAGGTAGGCGATAATGGCGGAAGATTAATGGAAGAAAATAGAGAAATATCTGGCAAGCGCTACCTCCATTATTACATGTTTGCGATGGTAATGTAATAGAAGAAAATTATCGTGAATTAAGAGTCTTATTCGAATATGAGAATAGATTTGGGGTAGGAATGTTGTGTGAACTAACGCAAATACAGTGGGGTATGCTATAACGAACGTAATTGGTTCCAGAACCTCGTTCGTTATAGGATTAATCCGTTCCAGGCCCCCAAATACAACCACTTAACACTGAAAAAATTCTGTGGAAAATGTAAAAAATACGGTACTTTATCTTACCTTAGTGTTATTCAGCATGCAGGTACCCCTAAACACTGGCACATCACTATCACTTCCACTGGGAGTCTTGGCTTTAAGGTCCTCAAACAATTGTCTGGCCTTCTCACAAATTATAGCTTCACTAATGTTACCACCTGCCATTTCTTTCTCCTTTATCCACACTAAGAGTAAATTTTCCATCTCTTCAATCACATTACACTTTGCTTTGCTAAGTCTAGAGATTCCCTTAGCCACTTGCTCAGTTTTTAACTCCTCTTTATTCTTCAAAATCGTACATATAGTCGATTTAGCCATCCCATATTCATCACTAAGTTTCGCAATGCTTCTTCCATTCTCACGTTTCTTTATAATTTCTTTCTTAGTTTCAAGGGTTATTAGCTTTCTCACTCGCTTTGGACGACTCATTGTTACAATTGTATACTTGTATAACAAAATACTGTAGTTATACAAATAACGCGAATTTCCACATCAAAAGACGAAATTTCAACAATAACAGTGGTGCACTGGCTACACAATGAGACAAAGATGGCGCCTGACGCTCTTGTGGTGGGTCGCGGTACAACAATATTCATGCGCCAGGCGAAATAGTCCCGTATTCATCCGCGTTCGTTGTAGGAGTTGCGTTCGTTATAGCATTCTCAATTTTATAGGTAAAACCGTTCGTTATAGGAATATTCGTAGTAGGATCCGTTCGTTATAGCATACCCCACTGTATACCAAATATAGTGGAAGTTTTATGTGACAACTAGATTTAAAAACGTTTAGAACAGAATCAGCCCCCCCTCCGCCTACTCGGTGTCACAGATGTTAAAAATGTTCTGGGCTTAATTGAAAGTTTGAGTCGTGATGAGATTATGGTATTAGGTAAATTTTTACAAGTGGACAACCATTGATTTTTTGCTGAGCAGTGTGTTTTTTCCGTTGGTTTAGACAATGTTAAGACACTTTTCTTTTATGACGTTTCCTTCGCTGTGAGAGGTTTGAATAATAGACCAGGTTCTTTGGAGATTTTACTCTTGAAGCGTCAGACAATGACTGGCAACCCGGCACTACCAAAGACAAAGTCCCGCCTGCATACATGGAAAAACATATCGTACGATGATACTCCATCTCACAATCTCACTCTTGCATAAAATTACCTAACCTAACCTCCTCTGCCTCGGATCCCCTGGTATTTTTAAAGTAATTTGCAAAGGAAACGTCATAAAAGAAAAGTGTCTTAACATTGTCTAAACCATCGGAAAAAACACATTGCTCAGCAAAAAATCGATGGTTGTCCACTTGTAAAAATTTACTCAATATTAATATCGTTTTGCTTATCCAATGAATTTGAGAATTTTCAGTTACCACCATCCGAGAGAGGTTTAGGGTAGGATAGGTTGAAATTATGTTTTTCAGATTTATTTTTTTTATGTGTTTTGAACGATTCTGACCTACTTCCAAATAGGTGGATGACCGAAATGATACTTTTACTGAGATTACCACTTGGAATAAAATATTAGGTTCAGTCAGATTAAATTTGGTCTGCTTTGATTAGATTTTGATTGAACTGTACATGTCCAGGACATTTTTGTACAATCTTGGCACAGGACAGTGGTATAAAGCCTGCTATACACTCTCAGATGTGGGTGTAGATAATACTGTAATAATAATGATAATAATAATACTGTAGTAATATTTATTCGGTAAAATTATCATACAGGTTTACAGTTGGATAGGCATGTATATAAACTATGCTGTTATATAGTTCTGCATAAATACAGAAAATGTAGGTACTGTACTACAGGTACTCCCCGACTTACGACGGGGTTAGGGACTGACATCCAGGTCGTAAGTCCAAATGGTCGTAAGTCGGAAATGCTTAAATAACACACAGAAAATCGAAAATGGATGTCTTTTTTCTTCTCAGCACCACAAAGCTCTCACTTTTAAGCTTGCCAGCCATTTTAAAGTGAATTACAGATGAAAATTTTGTCTATATACTGACTTTGGGACTCAAAAATACATAATTTGACCAAATTTTGGTACGACTGAGGCAGGTCGTAAGTGCGGGTGGACGTAAGTCGAGTAGGTCGTAAGTCGGGGAGTACCTGTATACTGTTTCCTGTGTCCCTAAATAATTTTGGTACCCGTATACAACTATGGTAAACGGTAAGGCAGTTTGACCAAGGATAACTTACAAAGCTGTCAGATACACAGATAAATCTGAGTGTGTGTTGCAGGATTAAGGGATTTCCTTGTTAGTAATGTGCATGCTCGATAGAGATCTGAGGACTCCGGCACTAGGATACTTTTCAGAGTATTGTAGTACTGTATAATAACCTAACCTAACCAAACTGGGTAAGACAGTACAGGATGAGGTAAAGATTTGGAAAAAGTCAACCATGAAACTCTAAAAAGTAATAATTTGTTTATAGGAAGATAAGCAAAAAAAACTTCAAAGCACTTTCATAGGAAATTATATTTTTCAAGTGTTGTTACTTTTCAATTTTACTTTAAAAAAATAATTTTTGATAACATAAATTGGGTAGGGCTTTGAAGCAGAGAGAAATTGTGGTGTAAAAACATGAAAAAACTGACAAAGGCAAACCTTCATCTTTCAGAGCTACAACAGGATCTATGGTTTACTGTGTAATACCGTGCAGAATTCTACCATGATCAAGACTGCTCTTACAGAAGCCAAGTTATTCACGGAACAGCCAATGTTTAAGTAAGTCATAGGATTACAGTTCAGTATTTTACATTCCTGCCTTACAGCTGTTTTCTGTACTGTGTCACCTTGGACTATTGATGCAACATGAGTTGCAAAGTCTCCTTCATACGAAACAGCTACTTTATATATTTTTAAAATTGGCATTACAATATACAGACATTCCTGGATTATGGATGGGCTATGTTCCTGGAGGCTATCCATAAGCTGAATTATCTCTAAACCGTAAGTGACCCTTCCATGGGTAATTATTAAACAAACATAGTAACTGTACACGTAATGTACTGTATATTCAGTTACTATTATTACCCAATACAATAAATTTTTAAGTAATAGAAACATAGGAAAGAAAGATGAGTACAGTATGCAAATACAAGTACACTACAGTACACTACATGTACATTAAGTACAAAACAATACAGTACACTACTGTATTGTGTAAATCATAAGGATTCTGTGATTATGGATTCATATTTAGTTATTGTACTTAAAAATATTATTATTATTTATGAAGAAGATTTATTTTCAAGTATATACTGTATACAGTTTTTCCCCTGGAAATATGATAAAATAGTTATCAAATACGTACTTTCCTTCTTCTTTCAAGAGCCAGTATTGTTTTATGATGTACAGTACATAGTATCATTAGATACAGAAACTATTAACATATATTAACAATAATTAGCTTGTCACAGTGAAAATTACCAGTTCCCCAAAAATGTGTCAGATACATGTCACCATCACTACTGTAATGATATCTGAATCTCTCCAAACTGCTAATGTTAAGTGGTTTAAGGAAAGATACAGAAACATAATGTGGGGACTAGACCAATCTTCACTGTAAAAGTCATCATGATGCACCAGAAATTTCAGAAGGGAGGCAATATCTATGTGAGCTTGGGGGGGCTGTAGGTACTTTGTAGAATTGAGTACTGTATTGTACTTAGCACTCCATTTGGTCCATAGACTGTATGGATTAATGAACTATAACTATAGTAGTCCTGTATATACTTTTCTTGTACACATCATTTATAATGCAGGTACTGTACTGCACTTCACTCTTTGCAGTCCTCACCTTGCACAAGTATTAACTGCAGAGCTGCTTAGAAAAGGATTCTTATCGGGTGACTGCAAACCCATTGTAATACTCCGTACTTATGAGGAGAAGATTAAAAGTTTCATGGACTTTAATTCCAACAAGGAAACTTTACAGAAAAAGAAAGGTGAGTTTAAACCATCGTATATTATTTTATTAGGTTCTTGCATCATCTCCCTATGTTGCTTAGGTATTTTACTGTAATGCTGATACTTGTGGGGTATTGAAGCAATCATTACACTGTAAAGTATAGGTTGATTATTTGTGATGCCAATACTATTTTTACTGTACATAGGTGGGAACTTGATAATCCACTTACATGGTGAAATCCAGACCTTGACAACTTGTGTGAAGACAGTAACTAATCTGCAATTGAATCTAGGTGCAACTAAAAAAAATTTTTTTTTATAAAGTTGCTTCCAAGTCTGAACTTGTCTATGGGCATGTAGAGTACAAATACAAATAGTCATGTGTGTAATGTATCAGTTTTAACAAAGGTCACGATCATAATATTTAACTTGATGCAGTGGATTGAACAGTTCAAATAATGGATTAACAAGTTTTCAGGTTGACTGGACTGTATCCAAGTAATTCAGTGAAAACCGGAAAGCTTGATATAGTATTTCCCATTTCAACCACAATCTTGCTGGTAATTCTGTAATGGTTTATACAGTACAATTATTGTCCTGTCATCTTTGAAGAGGCTAGAATTTCCCTGTTTCCCTGGGGAATAAACTGTGAACCCTGGCCTGGGCCATCAATCATGAGTCACATCCAACCTACTGTAGTGTTCATGTAATAGGAACAGGTTTCTCCACCCCATCTTTCTTGAGGCCGACAGATCTATTTATGATTTATTTTTTCACCTTATATGATCAAGACTTGTGTGGCTTTATGCATTTTATTTATCTATTAATGATAGTAGTCAAGTTGGAGATAAAAGAAGAATACAAAAGATATTACCGAGGAAGTCTATTATGATTGTTTGTAGATTTCAGCCCACGATATGTACGAGTCAACACTTTAGTATCATCCTTGGATCGTGTACATGCCCAGCTAGCAGATGAAGGATGGCAACTTCAAGAATATGATCCAACACAAGTGACTTATGATGATTATCTTCATCTTATTCAAGTAGGTTTACTTTTGAAACATTATACAGTACAGAACTGTACACTCTTTATTCTGGGCACTGACTCAGTATCAGCTGATGTCACTGTGAGTAATCCAGTCTGTATTGTGGTAATTGGTCTTTACTGGTGTAATTGGGGGGTGATACCTGAAGTTAAGAAGAAATTCTCTCATATCTGTTGGAATAGAATAATAACAAATTCTATTTTTAAATTATTATGAGGATCCCCTTGAGATTTAAGACTTCAAGATTTAATAGGCCTGCATTTTGTTTCAAGAGGATATTAGATGCTCTTCTTTGTGTTTGAAAGAAATTTTACCTGAATTGTGATCCTGCATAACAGGTGAACTGATCTTGTATAGGCAGGTTTATCTGTGGCAAGGAATATTATAAATGGAATGTTTTTTATTTATTTATTTATTTCAGAATATGGATGAAACAACTTACCTTATAGATTATCACATACCTCAGTTGCTGGTATTCCCACCCAACACCCCTTTCTGGAACAGCATTCTTTATAATAAGAATGCAATAATTTTACAAAATAAGGTAATATTCAGGTAACTTTTACATTTCTGATTAATCTTGAACTAAGAGGAATAACAAAGGTCTTATTTACTAAACATAAACATTAGACAAAGATAAAGATATCTGAGAAAACTAACATTATATGGATGTGAAGCATGTGTGTAAGAGGGAGATGCAGAGATGATGGTGAAGTGATGTGCCTCAGAACAGTGTGTGGAGTAAATAGAATGTAGAGAATAAGTACTAATGAAATTAGGAGGTGTGGAGATAAAAACTGTTAGAGCTGACCTGATTCTGCTAAGGAGTCATGAACATGCTGAGAGTGTGGAGAGTGAAAGGTTGGTAGAGAATAATGTGGAGGGGAAGAGTGTGGGAGAGACGATTGAGGATATTGAAGGGTGGGGTGAAGGACGGATTAAAGTGTTGGGAATTGACATCTACAAAGAAGTTGAGTTTGTATGATTGACAGGAGAGCATGACATCTGATGGATTAGCTTTGGGGATGTTGTAGCCATAAGAGTGAATGAATGACAATACAGTAACATTTCCGTTAGCCGGAATCCCTCAAACCCGGAACTCTTCGATAGCCGGAATTGAAATTTTCTCAGAAAAAGTTCCCAAAGCTGGAATTTTCCGGAACATTCCGGCTTTGGGAACGATTTTCCGAAACATTCCGAGAAAATTTTCCCGATACCGGATTTTCCGGGGATGGGGGAATTTTTTCCGGGTTTGAGAGATGAAAATCGGGTGCAATTTCTGGAACTTCCTAGAACATTTTTCCGTTACCCGGAAAATTCCGGGGATGAGGGTTTTTTCCGGGTTTGAGAGAGTCGTCTCGTTACCCGGAAACTCTCATTTCTGGAAGTGCTCTGCACCAATTATTCCGGCTAATGGAGATATCACTGTATATAGAGAGAAAGTGTTTAGTCATTGTTCTGGCTACACTTCATAATACAGTAGAACGTCGATTTAAAGCGATTCAATTTAAGATAATTGATTTAAAGCGACATCCACAATTAAGGACAATATTTTAATTTAAAGCGAGTCTTTCCTATTTTGCACGAGTCACTCTCTGGGAACACTACACTGTCCTAAGGGCAAAGCTGTGCTGTACATGTACTCAAAATAATAGTACTAAGTGATTACTAAAATTTTTGTCTAGTGCCAACTATAGCATGATTATATTCAAATTAATCACTATCTTATAAAAATTCCACCAATGTAAATTATATTCTCCCCGGTCACTTCTGTGACATTTTATAAACAAAAAACAGAAACTCAATCTAAAGGACATAAACAAATAAATACTTCACTAGACTTTCCGCTCCAACTGTCAAACGTGTCACTGTCACCCCCCCCCCCATCTTCCCAACCTGGGTTGGGTGTTTATAGGCTTACAGTTTTTATCTTATATAATATCACAGACTAAAGTTAGGAGAATATAATTTGCATTGCTAGAATCCTTGCAAGACAGCGAATAATTTGAATACAGTATAAACGTCACATACAGTATTCTGCACAAGAGATAAAAATTTTAGCCCTTTGTATTGAAATTAATTAGAACATATCAGTTCAGTTACATTTTATTAGAGTAAAACTTAAAGTCACACTTAAGGACAGATAAATAAATAGGCACTAGACCTTGACATCAACTGTTAAACATATCACCTCACCTCTCCCCATCTTCCCATCAGCTGATCGCTAGTAAACAGACCATTTCACGTCCCATAAATTTAGCTGTGTTGATTTATGAGTGTTTGTTTTAACATAATACTACAAAAAACAATGTTTTGTTTGTTCTAGGAGATGGGCTGAGGTGCATCTGGGTAGACTCTCAGTCTTTTTAGTATTTTGTGTTTCAAGTACCAAACTAAATTATTCTATTGAAACAACACTTCGATTTAGTGCGAATTCGGTTTAAAGAAACCTCTCTTGGAACGTATCTCGTGTTATATCGACCTTCTACTGTACAGTACAGTAGTAGGAAAGGACTTGAGGGACAGAAAAAAATTAATAAAAAGGAATATTGAATTAATTACACATCATTACAGTTGTATAATCAGATTTTTGTGTAGTCTTGGCTCCTGATGTTAGTTTAAGTCATAGGGAATTAAATGGCATCTTGTGTTTTCAGGCCAGCTGTATTCCGGTATTTTTGAGCAGTGTAAACCCAGGAGCTAACGTGATTGATGCTTGTGCTGCACCAGGAAACAAGACCTCGTACATTTCAGCCATCATGTGTAACTCTGGGTATGTTAGTATTCTTATTAATTAGTTTTTAGGGAGGCTCTTTTGTACTTAATTTTGTAGGTTACTTTGTACTTTTACTTCAGTAGTCTTAAGAAAGTTACTTTGTACACATTTGTTGGTGGTTTTTCCCCCCATTAACAATACACTACCTATAAGTACTGCTACTAATGTTTTGGGGGGCAATGGTGGGGTGGTGTATAAGTTCCTTTACTAACTTTACATGAATACTGAATTTTATAAAATTGTATCAGTTTTATGGACACTGAAAATTATTTCTCTTAATTGTCTTTATGTTTACAGGAGTATACTGGCAGTTGAAAAAGACTTGAAGCGTTTTAAAACTCTACAGAAACTTATGGTGGAACGTGAAGCCACATGTGTTACTTGTATTAACCAAAACTTCAACAAACTCTCGTGTGAAAAGTACTCTGATGTGGAGTATATATTTCTTGATCCATCTTGTTCATCGAGTGGTAAGTGGATTCCTTTCATCATCATTACCATTTTACGGCCATTTTCCATTCTTGTCAAATTACAGCAACTGTACGTCTGCACCACTTGCCAGTGATGGTGGTTACAGTATACAGTATCTGCACAAGTAACTGTACTGTACTCTGTAAATAAAGTATCAAACAGCTTCAAACAGATCGTAAAGGTATATAGTACAGTACTGTATTGTAAAATTACATAAAAAAAAGCTTTTGTAAAAGGTGTGATACCAGTAAAAGTACGAGATATTTCTGCACTGAATGAATAAACATTCAGTAAAAAGAATTTAGTTGTGATTCTTTTTTATGTATATTTGTCAGTTTTGTTTTTAAAATGCATTTAATATTGAGACAATTCTTAGCAAACATGACTAATTTCACTGTTAATATTTTTAGGTGTAAACTTCCATGATGATGAAGTGTCTGAGCAGCGCATCAGAGGCCTGGCAACATTCCAGAAATACTTACTAATTAATGCTCTATCATTTCCATCAGTGAAGGAAGTCATATACTCTACCTGTTCTGTTAATGTAGAGGAGAATGAAGAAAATGTTGAAAAAGCACTGGAGCACTATCAAGATGAGTTTGAACTTGAGAATCTTGGACAAAAACTCTCTGGATGGAAACATTTTGGAGATCCACGTTTTGTCTTTGGAGAAAAATGTTTGAGAACCATTGCTGATATTGATATGTGTCAAGGATTCTTTATTGCCAAATTTGTAAGAAAAGACAAAAAATGTGGTGACACATCAAATTCAGTTAAGAAAAAAACAAAAAAGAGGAAGCAAAATGCACTGTATGAAGCAAGTAGCAAGAGTGATATGATGCCCAAGACACCTGTTGACAGTGACTATGGTAAAGAGATGACATATACAGAACAACACAGTGATGATAAAAAGGTAAAAGCTGTAACCATACCATTAGAGAATCCTGATACCTGTATACAGTCAGTGGAAACAAATTATACCAGCAAGAAGAAGAGAAAGTTGAAACAAGGAAATGAAAGAGAGGCCCCCAAAAATCCTGATATTAGAAGTAAACAGGAAAGTAAAGATTCGGTGAAACCTAATGAAAGTGATGGAGTTGGTAATGTAGAATCAAATGGAACAGAACTTGTTAATTGTAGCGATGAGTTGGATAAACTTCCACCGAGTAAACGTAGAAAAGCGAAAAAGAGGGAATCTGTTGAAAATAAAAATATTGACATAAGTGATATAAACAGAGATGATAATTCAAGAAAACCTGGAAATTATGATAATGGCAGTACAGAATTAGATGATAAAACATTATGTAACTCCAAAAGGAAAGGGAAAGATGTTAAGTTGAAACATAAGAAAGACAACGATATGACTGGGAATAGTGATATCTGTTTGAGAGATGACAAAGATTGTTTAAAGTCAGCTAGTAAAAAAGCCAAGTTGGTTGAAGAGGGAAGTGGTGTTTCAGAATTTATTGAAATCATGGGCAGAGAAGAGGAAACTAGGCCACTCACCCAGAAAAAGAAACATAAAAAGAAAAAGCTGAACAATTAGAGATTTGGAGTGTTGTAATTTTTTATTGTGTTTGCAGTGATTATCTGCAGTAATGTAACTGTAAAGTTTGGTTCCTTTCCCCACCCAGCTGTTCATATTACACAAATTGGGTGTTGTTGTTGGGACTATGGCAGTGTGCTTGCCTCTCACCATTGTGGTCATGGGTTCAGATCTCTGGGTCGAATGTGGGAAGGGTTACAGTATCCAGTGTGACCTTACCAAACATCACAGGTACTAACACTGGACAATGAGGTCATAACAAAGAACAGACCGACCATCTCAATGGCTAGGAAACTGAGAAGATATGAAAATGATATATAGAAACAAACATTTTACTTCAGTGCCACATTTGAAAAAAATGAAATGTATTACAACTGGTTTGTCTACCAAATTTAGGCATTTTTACCCTTATAAGTGATATCAATAACTCGTGCTGGATTTACATATCAGTCTGGAAAGAGATATTATTTAAAGAATGAAAATAAAAACAAACTATAGTACAGTAATCTAGAGTAAAACCTCTCAATTTGGGACTTTTCAGCACTGGAAATTCCCAATGAAGGGATGTCTTTTGCCCAGTATATTGAGCAGTCGCAGCCAGTAAGATTAGTAATGGGAACATTGTCTGTTATTGACATTGTGGTCAGATGGTGCATGTTGGAACTTGGCACACTCCATGCAGTTGAACATCCCAGTATTCCAAAACTCTCAGGAGGGTACAGTAGTTGCTGTATGGGATTAGCAGACTGAAAGATGCTGTGCTGTGATTGGTCAAGGGCTACCACAGTTGCTTGTCCCATGTGAGTTTGAGAATATTGGTAGCCATTCAGACTTCTGGGTGTCGTGCCATCATGTATTTCTCTTCTGCCGGGCTAGCACAAAGACTGGCAAATACTGAAGCCCCATAATGAAGGTAAGTTAAATTTCTACATTCACGTATTGTACAATATTCATGGTTAAAGATTTATCACATATCCTTAAGCTAGACTAAATTCCCTTTCTTTTGACATCAGTTTCATAATCTTGTGGTGGGTTACTACAGAGATACATGGAAAATAAATTTCACCAACTTTAACCATGATTATTTAAAAAAATATATTTTGTTCTATTCATAACTGTTTCCCTGAGTCCTTCACATAATGCTCTGCATGTTCTTGTACAGTAAACCCTGTTAATAATGGACAAATTCAAGCCAGTCCCATCCCTTATTGGGAGGATTCCTTTCCCTCCGTGTGTCGACATAAATTAATACACTGTACATTACAATTTTCATATTTCATTCCCAGCCATCAAATTGCACATCTTATATGGTCCTTACTGTAAATGAGGCACTTTTCTCCTCAAAACTAAATTCCACTCAAAAAACAGTGAGTGAATCAAAAAGAGGACCAAAAACATGAAGATCCTAAGAATAATGAGGAAATTAAGGAGGCTTTGACAGAATACTACGATCGTCTGCTGAATGAGGAGTTTGACTGGGCTGGACAACCAAGAAACAGTAGGTCCAGTATAATACAGGGACATTCTCCATGGATTGAAAGAGAATGATTGAAGAAAATGACTGAATTATTGAATAATGGAGAGACTGTGGATAGTCAGACAAATATTGAAAGCATCAGATGATAGTGACCGAGGTGACATTAATTCTAAGAAGGGTTAGTTTCATCCAAATTGTTTAAGCTCAAAGTTCAAAAGAGTCCTGGCTCTGAGAGTGTAAAGAGAGTTATGCAACGAGCTCACAAAACTTCTTAAAATCCTGTTCTGCAGATGTTTGTATGAAAAAAAGATCTCCAATGACTGGAATATGGTTTATGAGTCCTATGTATAATCAAAAAAGGGCAATCACCACTGCACAAACAACGACAGGCTGCTGAATTTAACTGGCATAGTCTCTAAAGTGCTAGATTATACACAATACATCATCTACAATGGAACAGCATCATGCAGGAATGTCAGTATAGTTTTATGCCCAGATGCTCCTGCTTGAAGGTTGTGCTAGGTCGACCATATCCTTCATATACTTGGTTGTACGTCTGTGTCAAGTTTCCTCAACATACACTGGCAACGTGATGTCTATTTTCATATGGTTGCTATCTGACCTAATACTTAACTTCAGTAATGAGAATTTGATTAAGTGTCTAAATCTGCATTCAAGAACCAAATTTTCAGTAAGAAGGGGGTACTCTCTCCCCTCATACTCGGCCACATCTTTGGTCGTTTAGTCCTCCTGCTGCATGACTGAGTGTCTCCTACTTTTTTTATGAAATATTTCCAGTTTTTATGAGAACTCTGCATGTAAAACAGCTTAGGACAACAACACATATAATGCACAGGTTTTATTAATTCAACGTTGATTATGTTTATAAGTGATAGACTGATCCTGAAATCCCATTTTATGATAAAGCCTGTAGTTAGGCAGGTCATGTAATAAACCTGCCAGTCCTTCAGGATGAACCACGGGTAACCTAACATTGATGGCTAGGCAACTAATCTTATGATTACTTACAGTTAATCACAAAATTAGTAATCCCTCCCCACAACAACTATCACCATAAAAGATATAATTACAGCTATATGTTTAAAGCCAAATTTTGGGTTATTACTTTGGTCCCCAAATTCAAATACTGTAGTATGATAAATGCTTCTCATGTCCCAAAATTTAGACGAAATCTCATTATTTTTTGGGGGACAGTACAATATTATTTTAGGGATGGGAAGATTATGTCCTTCATGGTGCAGATCAGAAAAATCCACATACAAAGATGGCACCAGATATTTTGTTTAAAAGTACTACATGATCTTGATGGAGTTCAGGTACAACATTCAATATCTCAGGTGAGTAAAGTTGCCTCCTTGAAGATGGTCTTTATTGCTTACAGTATTTACAAAAGGGACTCGGGTTCCCATTGTCAGATTTCAATGGGGTTTTCATCATTTAGTTTCATTAACCACGTCAGCCTTGGTAGCCAACTTCTCTTAACATCATTAATGTACAGTTATACCAATCACAGGTTGTTCTGTTCACTTCACTGAGTGATGTCTGTACTTCACCTTGTTTCCACATGTTATATACTGTATTTGGAATGTGGAACATCATCGATGGAGGCGCTTAAGAAGGGTTGTAGTTGACCATGGCAACCCTTTTCAGGCTATGACTGAGGAAGAATTTCTAGGGAGGATTCAGTTGGGCAAAGATTGTATCCATCACCTAATCCAGAGAATTGAACACCATTTATCTGATGCTCTTGACAATAGAGGTAATTGATGCAAACTCAGAATTTGTATTTAAAATATTACACTGGATCTCTTTAAGTAGAACTAATTTGGACAGACACGCGTCAGAGTTCAAGGAAGAAAAGTGCGGACTTTCCTGGTTCCAGAAATGCATCTCTTGCTAATTCACTTTTCTGAGTTGCAGTCCACCACTAGTAATGAAATCAGTAAACAAGTTTTTATTGTATTCTTGTAATATCCAATAAGCTCTTAATAATTACACAAGCTACAGTAAATAATAAATTCAGCATTAGTTCATTGTTATTTTATTGCTGTTCACCCCCCTTAGCAGAATTCTCCTGTTATACAGTACTGCAATACTGTACAGTACAGTACTGTACTGTATTGTATTTAGTGTTGTGTTACTGGTCAGTGTTATTGTAGTAGACACATGATATGGTGATACCATCATTTAGAAATCCCCTTTTGCTATTCTTTGCATCTTTCGAAAGTTCCACAATACTGTAATCGTTCTTCTATGGAACATATAAATTAGTACTGTACAGTTTGAGGTTGTTATAGCTATAAAGTGATTCATAGTTAATGGTGTGGATAATCGCAACTCTCTCTATTGTATAACACTGTATGGTACAGGCTGTGTAAATAATGTGAAACATTTACTTGTCCAGGGCAAGTGACATGAAATTTACTTGAGGATATTTTTCTTACTTGGCCTGACAAATTTTATAGGAAATTTGCCTTTTACCCTCATCCGGTTGTTACCCCTTAAAATATCATAATATAAATATTGTATGATAGATAAAATACCGAAGAATTGTATCGATTCTTTGGGCGTCCATCCGGCAACTAATTAGCTGGCCTGTTACAAACTGATCCCAGGCCTTAGTTGCAAGCTTTGACCGAACAGACTATAGTGAGATGTGGCTGGCAATGGATGGCAGGTTGTTTCTTAGACCTAAGAAGGTGATATTTGAGTCAAATGACATGGTGTGTAGACACAACCGAGTCATGCAGATTTGCTTTTAGTCCTCCATTTTAGGTTTATGGTTGCAATGGAGAGGAATTAACTAATAATCTGGTTAGTTGTAACTAATCAGAAAGGTTAGTTGCAGTCACCAACATCAGGGTGCTCTGGGTCCATCTCAAATGCTTGGTGTGTAGTTTTACATCAGTTGTCTAGTGGAAGGCATTATATCATAAGAGAACTTCAGTTAACAAGTAAGATTGTTTAATTAATACATTATCACTATACAAAACAACAGTAGTAAAATTATATACAAGCAGGACTGCCTAAGACTTTTTTAAATCTTCATCACCATGAGCATATATACATGTTTGAGAAGGCAGTGGACATCCCTTGACATGGTTGATGTGAAACCAACAATGTTTTGTTTTAATCCGAGTTTTGGGTACTGTCGCTTTCCATTCTGGCACTGGAACCTGAAAGAAAAAAAAATAGGTAAAAATTTTAAGAAATGAGCCACTCTGTGCATTGACTGATGAGATTGATCTATTATAAGACTATTGAGAGGTTGGAGGAGTGAATATAATTACATATCAAAGATTTACAGGATGAAACCCATGCATGTTATTATGTCCTGCTGCATTACCTATTAATTATTTACTCTAATATTACTAGTAACTATAATTATTACATTAAAGATTGTCATGATAGGACCCATGTATAATATCAGGTCATATTACATAAGCCATTCATCATTTACTGGCATCTAGGGGTTATGCAAGCTTAGATGGCAAACTTGATATGCATATAATTGTTCATGTAGTTTAAATTTCTTTAAGATAAATACTGAACTTTCAACTTGGTTCTCACACTAACAAGAATATTATTTACACATGATATGACTTTACTGTTGAGGTGAAATTAAGAGTTGTGTTATGTCTCCTCGATCACCTTCGTGGTTGGCAGACTTCATGAAGATTTAAGCATTGTAAAATCTCTCCAATATAATAATACATAGTATACAGTATTGCCATATTAAGGAAACTAAACATTAAGCCTTAATAATCATATACAGGAAATAAAATGCACCATATTAAGCTTATACATGTGAGAAAGAAGACCAATAGTTTACAATTTCTTTTCTATAATCATTCAAACTTTACATTCCTTACCATATGTTCTTTCTACTAAAAACAGCTAAATGATGGGTACAGTATTTATGTAATACAAAATCTGCTGCTAGTAGAGTGACCACAGATGTCAACTTACTTGAAGACTGACTTCCCGTTGTAAAATGTTGAATATGTGCTTGTGGTTCCTGAGCAGTGTTTGTAGTCCTCCACACTCTTTCTTTAATGCCGACAGTTGGTTTGATTCCATACGTTTAGCTATGTCACTCAGCGTCATCCTACCACCACGGTCCCAATTTACAAAGGCAGTCTTGCTTACCTCAACCTGCGGTAATACCAATGCTGTACACGTGTGCTTTAATTCTGAATCCACATCCACAACAATTGATAAAATAATCTTTTGTACACTCACTCCAAAAAATAAATATATGTACAGTATATGCAGAAAATCTAAAAAAAATGTATACACACAGCCTTACAGATTTTTGTGGCAATACAATACTGCAGTACAACATTGTCATCACTAGTTATTGGCACATCAACAAGTGAGGACAATGTTGTTTTAATACAAATATTCACTTGATCGCCACAAAAATCTGTAAGGTAATGAGTATAATTTTGTCAAGACCTCCTGGATATACTTTACAATGGAAACTAGAGGATGAAAAATATTTGTAAAAAAAAAAAATATTCATATTTTCATTTAAAACCAAGTGTATAATGATGGGTCAAGGATACTGAAGAAAAAAAAAAGCCAGATAAAATTACACCCAGAAGGCTGCCTGCAAAGGACAACTGGAGTTTAGCTGGTTGGCTAAGTGACATACAAATACATGTTTCAGGTTGTGGTAACAAATCTTAACAGTAACAAACAATACTTGACAACTCTTGATACATTACCTGAATTATGTGTTTCTTTTCCATGAGCATTTTTGCCACTGTCGATACTAGATCTTCCCTGACACCATGCTCTAACTGTGTACAGTTTCGCACAGGCTGTACAGCTGCACGAGCTTTAAAGTTTTCTGACCACAAGGCATCAGTATGATTTTCATGTTCACTTTTTTTATGCCCATGACTCTCCCAGCTATTAACATTTTTTTGATTCTCTGTATTATTCATACCAGTGTGAGTTCTCTCTCTTATAAACTCATCGATCTTCTGAAATGTTTGATGGGACTGTGATGCACTGTATGTTCTTTCCTGTCCAATCAAACACACTCTCTTAGTGGAAGGAATCCTTAATTTATCTTGCCAGACTTCAAAGCCACAAACAGTCCCAATTTCTTTGATATATTCCAGATAATCTGAGTACTGGCTTCTTCCTGCACATTTCCTTCGGTACCTGCAGTCAAAGTCATGGGCACAACATGGGATGACAAAAAAACGAGTTGTGTATCTAGACTTGGCAGCAATGACAGGTAGCCAAGGGGTTAGCTCATCTGAATGGTTTCCAATTAGCCAATCATACTGAGGGAAAAGATTCTTGTCAGATGGTTCAACGACTCCTTCCTAAAATAAATGAAAAAGAGATATCTTAATGATAAAGAAGAACACTGGAAAGAAGCATGACATTTTATGGCCGATGAGAAGACAGTGTCTATGAGATCACTTACTGTTACACCTTCAGACATTGTCCAAGGAGCTATTTGCATTCTAAAAGCAAGATACACTGTCCTGTCAGATCAGTGTAAACTGCTGCATGTGCAACTCGTGAATATACCAAGTCAAGCTGGGGGTTACCAAGGTAAAGAGAGAGATGGTTGAACATCAAGAGGCAAGACTAGGAACCAAGGCTTTCTTGAATCAAAGGCCTAACTTTTCGCCTGCAAAGGATCATGAGGCACAAGCACAATGACATGGCAATGTAGACTCACAGGTCTCAGTTTCAGCAACGGCCTCTCCTTACCTACCTCCTATTACATGGTTTACAGTTGGGCCAGGAGTTATCTTGTTTCTATGCTTGTAGTACAATATTACTAGAGAGTACAGCTCGGTACCAGTCACCCACTGTATGCTTCATAAAATCTCAACAACAATATATGGATTAAGAAATATTACTTCTGTATACTGTACCAATATTCCCTCTAAGCTGTGTGGCTGCCTGGCCACACAGCAATCAGGCACTGCACATTGCCTTCATAGTGGTACACACAAAAAAATCTATTCAGCACGGTGATGAAAACATTAGGAGCCTTGCTATATATTGCATTGTACCCTGAATCAACTGACTAGAAAAACTGCTTCAGTATATTCAATGATGGATGCAGAAAATAATATACTACCTTCAACTTTGTGTGTTCGGGAAACATATCCCAGATGTTACGCTTTTTTATGTCTATGCCAAGCCCTTGATGTCCTTCACTTGACAGGATGTGAACAAGTAGGCCATTGCCACAACCTAAGTCAACAAAGGTTTGATGTGTACTTAGTCCTTTCTGTTTTCTTTCCTGTTCCCATACTAAAATCAGATATGTGGCGATGGCAATATCCTCGAACACATATTTCTGAGGGTCTGTTGATTCAGGCCATATCTGGAAACAAAAGTATCATGAGGAAATACTATCACAAAACCTCTAATTCACAGCAAGAAAATTCAGTAGATCCAGGACCTCTACAGCAGGGAGGAAAGTTATCCCCACCACCTTAGTGCAAGAGGAGGGGAAATAGTGTATTGTCTGTCAAAGTATTCCTGGAGAGTGGTAAATTCAGGGGTATTTTTATTTTTTGCCCTAACCCCCCCCACCCCCCGGAGACCTGGCTTACCCCCCCAAGGGCTGTCTTGCTCTCCAAGGAAAATTTTAATTATATTCCTTTGGATTTGGCGAGAACATCTCAATGGTATTTTTACTATGCATAATTAAACAATGTTAAGTATTCATCTATTTTCATCGTTCCCATTGCCTGTCATTTATAAACTGAATAGCAGCTAGGAATTAGGTCGTATTGCTAGTAGCCACACGGTCCACACCGGGCAGATGCAAATTGAAAATACAGTGACCCCTCGGTTAACGAACTCAATCCGTTCCAGAAGGTCGTTCGTTAACCGAAACCATTGTTTCAATGGGTTTTTGGGTAATTGGTTCCAACTCACCGAAAATTGCCTAAATTCAACAAAAATGGTAGAAAAGTTCACTTACTTTGAGGTGTGTATGTAGAAGGCTCCTGGATGATGATGATGATGGGAATTAGAATGGGGGTGGAGGAGAAGGAAGAAGAGAAGGCATTGGGGTGGAAGAGAAGTCACCCCATGGCACCATTTCACCCATAAAATTTTAGTTCTCTTGGTGTATTTAAAGATTATTTTCTTTAAATCAACACTGCACTGCATTATATATTGTCAATATGTAAAATATATTTCAAAATGACCAATAATTTGCTTGGAAACACAGAAATAAAGTGTTTAGTTGAAGAGAGTCTCAAGCAAGATGTTACCTCCAGTGAAAACAGAGAGAGACTAACGCCTGTTTGCTGTGTTAAGAGGCTGGATGCCGCGCATTAAACTAGTCACTTTACCTTTAATTATGTTCAATAATTGTTAAAATGACTAAAAAATTGAATATTAAACTTTTAAAACTATTGAATAGTATAAACTTCTTGATATTTACTAAAATAGTAAGGAATTCAAGCCCTAGAACCGATTAATGTATTGGCGGACTGATACTAAAGCTGGTTGCCCGGTCAGTGCAAGCGAAAACATGTTGAGGTCGGTTCGTAAGAAATTCGTTAACCGAATTGAAGATCCTTATGGAAGGCAGTTCGTTAACCGAAATTTCGTTAACCGAGGCGTTCGTTAAACGAGGGGTCACTGTATAAAACGTGTTGGAAGGTGTTCCATCTGTTACAGCACCACGATATAGCAGGATTTTGACCGCTACTCTTTGCATGTAATGGTGTTGCTCTGCTAAGCAAAATCTGAAATGACGCCCCTGGGTTCATTATACTTGCCTCATCTTTAGGAAAACAGCTGATGATATTTTACTGCTGGGCATAAACAGAGATGTTCCAATCCATTTATGTTTTTGAGGGAAAGAAAGAGATACCCTTTCTTTCATAACTATTTCCAGGTATGGTTGAAAAAGTAGCATGTTGCACAACAACTGCACTGTTCTGGGAATCTAGAGCTGCACAGTACTTCACATGAGCCATTTAAGAACACTCATCATCCTTAAAATACCTTAATGCAGCCATATCTGATTGAGAGTAGACTCTTAATTTTTTTTGGTTCCCCCCCAAATTTACAATCACTTGTACAACTTCAATAAACATATAAAGTTTAATTCACCTTCACCAACGACTGTCCATATTTGATCTTCAGTTTCTGATATAACTGGTTATATTCTTGAACATCTACAAGTCTGAGGGATCCTTTATTCTCCACAGTCCCATCTTCATCTACCTCACCAGTCCACTTCATCAACTTGGGAAGGACATTCTTCTGCACCCACACAATATTGGTTTCTCCTTCAAGTGAACTGCCATCTTTATCTGAAGTAACACAAATAATACAGATACTTTACTGGATATGTAAGGTATTATTATGTACACCTGCTCTTAGGTGATGAAATGTAAGGAGGTATGATGTAATCTAAGTGGGTCAATTTGAGAATATTGTGGATCATGCACAAAAAAGGGAATGAAAGACAAATTTATGGGCATGTTATGCCAGGGAATGAGAAAAGAGAGAGCTCTGGGATGAACAAAATAATTTCATTGAAAGCAACAGTGTAAAAGACAGTGACAATAATAGAAAATTTAAAACTCCTGCCATTAAAACATGGACTGGGACTCTTACCACACATGACTTAAGGCATTCTAATGTAGATGTAAGCATATCCCACCTTAAAATGAACCATTATTTCTTCCCTAAAGTCCTACTACTATACATTACTGTACTTGAAATTAGGAAACACCCTTGTGGTTCTTGGACATGTTAGACCAGAGGCTATCATACTGTTAACAGGACATTCTGGAAAGAGTGCAGGACCATAAGGTCTCCCACACCATCATCTCTAAGTCTGATTCCCCTTTAACTGAGCTCTACAGTAGTCTGCCCTTACCATGTGATGATAGCATCTCCCACACTAGGTACTGTTATGTACCCTAAAATGGCATTTCAAGAGACAGTAATTGTAGATCAAGCTCTACTTACCCTACTAAATACCACCACTCACCAAACCAAAATACTGTACTGTACACACACCAACATTTACTGAGTTTCTGCATTGTATGCATGAAATTAAAAACAACTGTCTTAAGACCTTACCTGTAAAATATGAAAGACTAATTCCTGTCTTGGTAAAGAAGAAAGAGTAGTTGACACGTGGGATAACACTGGGTGTGATGGTGCTTGTGGCAGCCAAGTAACTGACACACATCTCTTTTCCATCTGAAGCAAAGATTAATGTACACTAAATAAAATACAGTAACCTGCAGCTGGATAGGACAGCCTCTAGCACTGACAGACTCTGTCCTGGGTGTTTTAGTTGTCAGAGGGCAATTGTTTATGATCCTTGGGCCATAAAATGTAGCTAATGAAGCCAAATATTGAAGAAAAAAACAACAACATATATTTTCCTTAAATCAGTACTTACTACATTCTATGTACAGGATACTTAAACTCAAATATTATTAGCTAACATACCCAAGACATATTGTAAATTTTAAAAATAAATTCATAACTTACCCATAAGGACAACTTCTAAAAGAGGAGTAAATTTCTTGAGTACTTTAGGTAGTATTCTCCTGATCACAGCAATCCTTAATGTGTTGACATCCAAGAGGTCCTGCCAAGGTATCTTCAACTGTCTATTTTTTACTAAAGTAGTTTTGGGCAACTGGGCTTCACTCTGCTCTTTACAGTTATCATCTTCATCAACTTCTTTAGTTTTGTCCTGAGACACAATTTTGTTACACCATAAATCACTCTTTTCTTGTATACTTCTAAATCCTTCTTTAAACAAAACATCCTTAATCACATCTATCTGCTTAAGTTCAGGTTCAAAGTCTTTATCTTGATCAAGTATGTTATTGGTACTGCTGGAAGGTGTCTCCACATCTATGGCATCATGAATATTGATGTCACACTCTGAGAGGTTTTCATCTTGGTAAATGTTAGCTGGAGTTCTCTTACATTTATCCACTTCATCAACAAAATTATGAAGGAAGACTTTGTCCTCAAGGGATTTCACTACATTCTGTCTTGAGAAAACTTCATGGGAAATACCGATCCATAAATTGACAGTTCCACATATTCTACGGTTAATGATATGTGGCTTCTCTGTGTAGATTCTTACTGCACCCCAAAACTGACCGGGCAAAGCTTCCAGAGGTAATTCTTCAATAATTTTCTCCATGCTAATCTGAGGAAAGATATTTACAAATTATCTTTTTGAACTAAGTACATGGGATTATGTGGAAGGGACAGAAGATGAGTGGAATCCAGAGAAATAAAGAATCTAAAGGAGCATTTCAAAATGAAGGAGGAAAAATAAAAATGCTAAAGTATGAAATATCATCTTCTGACCAAGGGGAACAGACAAGTTATCTGTTTACGATTCTACTGTACTAGTAAACCTGATAAACCACTTCAGTCCAGTTCAACTCAGTGTCCTAAATGAACAGGAGATAATGAGCTAAGTCCGAACTCTTGTTATGAAACTGGACTTAATGATCAATTCCCCATTCATAACATACGTCAGGTAACTGCAACTCTGTACAGTAACCACAGCCAAGTTGAACGGGAGGAGAAACGTATTACATCTTATATGAACTGATTCCGGTTGGATGCATTTAGTGTGTATGATCTTATCAAATGCTCTTAGGATGTCTTCATGAATGTTTTCTTAATACTGTAACTGTGCTGCACTTACCTTTCTTGCCAAAACTATTTAAATTAAAATAAATTTTGTACCAGCATATTGCACTTCATTCCCCTATTGGTTGCAATTGTGTCACATTTTCATTTTTCAGATGGGTGATATTATTCCTTATACTCATAAATATCTACCCAAAATAATCTGTGTACTTACCTGATACTGCAACAACAGTCTTCCTCCAATGGTTTACTCTTGGGCTTTGGAGTACTGAAAAGAATAATATGTATTAGAGCACTGATTACAAGGAATTGTCATCAGTTAAGATAATAATTTACAGACTACTGTACTGTACTGTACTGTACTGTACTGTACTGTACTGTTCTGTACTGTACTGTACTTGGCCCTGGCCAAGAGAGCTAAATGGACCCCTAGAAAGTCATCCCTATTACAATAGGTTGTATCAAATATTTTCAGATGCATCTTCCAGTACTGTATACAATACTAACAGAATGGAAATGGTCACTGTTGGAGACAAGTTTACACTGTGTTAGGGTTGCCATATCTGAACATTAAAAAAAAGAGGACGTTCGAAGAAATCCCCGAGTTCCTGTATTTACTCCATCCCTGGTTTGTACAAACCACCCCCTGTAGTGCTCACAGTCACCCTTGTAGTACTGTAGTTCCATGTTTGAACTACAGTACGTACCATCAGTCCACTAGGGGTCACCAATAAAACATCATCACTTGCATAATGAAAACCATAATGTTATCAAACAACTGTTTCACTTTACACCATTCTGTCTAAAATCAAATGTATAGAAAGATGAACCTAGTAAACTCCAGAAAACAACAACAAATTTAATTAGGGGAAATGTGTTGGCCTGAAGCATGGGTTCCTATTTACTTTTAATGGCAATCTATGACTTATAGTATGTAAAATTTCACCAGGGTTTCAACCCACTGATCTAAGGCGGCACTGGTTCTCAAAGCAACAATTTAGCTCATAGTTCAAAGTGTGAACTTGAAACTGGTGCAATGGATGAACAGCCACTTTGTAGTATATAATACACTTTTCTTCAAGGCAGTTTTATTACTGTACTGTACCACTAGATGCAGTAGAGTACTGTACATCACAGCCCAGAGAACTGCCGGCATTATCATACAGTGTTTTAGTTGTGGGAAACTCAGATAAGATTAAAGGCCATACTAGTTACCTTACCTTCTTCACAATCCACCTTGAATCTTCCACTGCCCGATGTATGATCTGAGATATTCGTTCTGGATCCGTTTCATCAGAATGTTGATTAAAGCCCTACAGTGTAATGGAAAATCCAACAATTAGTACTGCACTGCAGAGCACACCATACATTATGATATCTTTTACATCATTATGGTCTTAAAATTTGCCAAAGAGAATGTTATGGCAGAAGCCAAATACCCAATCCTGTACATACTGTATTTTAGGAATAAGATCATTAACTACTTTGTCTGGTAATCCAAAATTTTAGAAATTATGTGGATAGCAAATAAAGGTGTGTAATGGTGTATTGTTGTGTTTTTATTGTACTTTTTATTACTGCATAGTACAGGGTATGTGTTTCTACATGGAAAAGGAAAAAAAGAGACCTGCTATAGTTGGGTGTACAGTAATCAAGTTATACATGCAGCAAGGAATAAACCACTGAGCATCACTACAATCTCTTTTTTTTATATATATACAGGGTATAGCCCACCCATGCACAGGTCATCAACCCACAATGGGGCCTGGGGGGCAAAAAAAAAAAAAAAAAAAAGAGAGAGATAGGAGAAAAAGACTGTTAATCTACACCACGAAGATGCCGGAAAACCAGCTTTTTGAAGTGAGACAGAGTGTATGAGTATGGAAACAGAAGAAGGCAGAGAATTCCACAGTTTGGCTGTGTGAGGAAAGAAGGAGGTACTAAACGGGTTATCCTAGTGTGACCGACATCCATGGAGAAACGGTGGGCACCGCGGGCAAGACAAGTGTTACGAGCCCACGGCCTTGCCGGCAGTAAACAAGATGCCAAATCCACTGAACATTGCCCGTTAAAGTACAGTACCTGTAAAAGAGAAAGAGTGAAGCAACATTACAGTGAAGAGAAAGGGAAGAGAGATTATCAATATATATATATATATATATATATATATATATATATATATATATATATATATATATATATATATATATATATATATATATATATATATATATATATATATATATATATATATATATATATTATACACATAGCTCTCCCGACTTACAATGGGGTGAGGACCGACATCCAGGTTGCAAGTCGAAATGGTGGTAGTTGGAAATGTAGGACAGCGTGTGACGTATTCCTCCCCCATACGCCCTCGCCTCAGTCTCCATTGCTGGCGTGTTTTTGTGTGTTGCAATGCCTAAGCGACCAGCTACTAAAACTCCCAGCAATGTTGCTAAGAGATCAGGTGTGGCGGTTACGATGGACGTGAAATTGAATATCGTAAAAAGGCGTGAACACGGAGAAGGAACTTCAGTGATTGGGCGCGTGCACGGCAGCTCCCTCTATGGTGCGTTCTATAGTTAAGCGCCCGACAAGATCAGGGAGATGGCCGGGTCTGCAACACCACTGATGGCTACGAGTGACGAGGTTCCTTGATGCTGAGATGGAAAGTATGGAGTGAATATTGAGCAAGTGGATTGACAAACAAACCAACGCCTTAAAAACACCTTTATGTAATGCATGGATTCAACAGCTTTCAGTGCAAATTGACAGCGATAATGAGAGTGAAGTGGCTGATGACCCCAGCCTCCTCTCACCCCAGTAAGCCTTCACCTCTCCTAATGCAAACTTCAGCAAGCAAGCAAAACAGCACATCAGAGTAAATTAACAGACTACGTTTAAAATTTACTTCAAACACCTACACACATAAACATATAACGCAATAAACTCAAAGTGTTTGTTATTGAAGATTATTTGATATTATGCCCTTGATTCTTTATTTATTTTATGTTCTATACAGTATGTATTGAGTAAAACAAGTGTTAAAATCTGACGGCAGTGACCACGATGCCTGTAGCCTATTTACATTATTTCTTATGGGAGAAATTGCTTCCGCTACTCGCAATTTCGATATTTGCAACTGAGTTTCATGCCCGTAACCTTTGCAATAAGTGAGGCAGCCCTGTATATTTTTACAAGGCATGAAAACATATATCTACTCCAGAATAATTTCCGGTACTTTGATAGTAGTTCACACAACATTCCTACCCCAAATCTATTATCACATTCGAAAAAGACGTCTAATTTTAGATAATTTTCTTCTATTATATTACCAGTGATTCTTGGGCTGCATACAAAAGGTTATGTGATCATGGTTACGAACACTACAAGATTAATCACTCTGAGAATTCTATAGATCAAGCCCAGCCCGATATATACACGCAAACAATTGAGAGGGTTTGGCGTGACTTAAAGGGTGGATGAAAGGTCTGGCATCTGGAAACACTTCCTAAGGCAATACAAGAATCTTCGGTGTTGTACTTCATTGCTTCTTGAAAAAAGCCCGCCTTTAACCCCCGTTAGCGAGAATCAATGTCAGCCACCTGTACTGATCCCGTTCAGATCAGATTCAGAATCCGACTGACGAATCTGAACCAGGCTCTTCATGTCGATGATCCACCTCCGCCAACTCGAATTTCTGATTCCAATTCGAATAATGTAAGAAATAACAGTGATTCCCTCATATGGTGAGAGTCTGGTTAGTAAAACACCGTGAGGATTAGGTTAGGTTAGGTTGGATTATGTTAGGTTAGGTCATTCATAAAGGTTAGGTTTATATGTTTTTCTAGTTTTTTTTTTTTTTTTTTGGTGTGTTTTGTGTTTACTGGCCATGATTTTTGTGGAAGATGCTTGTTTCTCTCCCCACCTAAAACCCTGGTTCCCAACAGGATCCCTATCTTTTGGGGGTAGAGAATGATAACTAAAAAACAAGCAATTTCCGACGAAATCACGGTCAGAACCAATCAAAACACAAAAACACTAGAAAAACATAGGGTAATTATATTGACTAACCATAAGCAAAATTGATTGAAAACAATTATAAAAACGCCGGATTTTCATTGTTATACCGTAGTGGACACTGTTGTAGTTTGTAAGTATGTTAAAAATAATATTTTAAAAATAAACACTACTTAACATTTGTGGCCATGAAGAACAGACCAAACCAAACAAACCTACCTAACCTTACCTAACGTCCCCGGTATATTAAACAGAAAAACTTACTATGATATGGTGAAATTTGGGCATTTTGGATGCGAGATGATATGGCCGCATCGGCGCTATTCAGCCCCAGAGGTTAGTCCTATATATTAACCTAACATACTTTGACTTTCTAACAGAGTTGTGTGAACTAATGTAAATTTACATAATTTCTTCAAGTTGCTGTTTAAGGGCACCAACTGTCATAAAGTATTACTTCAAGTTATTACCCACTAACATTAATACAAACTACAGTATCAAGTTAGTTAAATTCACATAACATCCACTGAATCACACACTTCTTGTAACACCTATGCACCTACTATATAATTTACCTGTCTTATAGTGTGGAGATAATAAGACTGAGATTCTTTGGGAAGTTTTTGCATTCTTTCAATAGATATTTATAAAGTTGCTTGGAAGTTTCTACTGTGAAGACGTCCTTAAAAACAATGTATTCGCACCATTGTTCAAATTGTAGCTGTTGTTACAGTGTTTCTCAGTTATTAGATGATGGATACGTAAGCAAACGAGTATGTAATAAGTGAGCAAGTAAGATTTATAAAACAAGTGCCTCAGCAGCCACCTCCAGAGCCTTGGCAGCTCCACTCACCGTTACCAATACCTGTAGTCACTACAAGGACACTGTAATAAAGAAACTGTATGCTATATAGCACATATTAGATTGATTGATATATTAAAATATAGATTCATAAATTTATCAATTAAAATCATGGAAGTTTATATTTGGTTCGGCATGTGAAGTAGTTGTAATGTTGTTTACAAAGGAGTTACCAGACCGGAAAAACATGAACTGTAAACCAGCCAGAAAACAGCTGTGTCAAATGTTTGTGTTTTCCGCTGACTAATATGTACTTTTAGTGTTGTCCGCGACTGACTAATTCATTATTTTAGTGTTGTCCGCGAATGACTACCTCGTATTTTAGTGTTGTCCGCGACTGACTAATTCATTATTTTTAGTGTTGTCCGCGACTGACTAATTCATTATTTTAGTGTTGTCCGCGACTGACTAATTCATTATTTTTAGTGTTGTCCGCGACTGACTACCTCGTGTATTTTAGTGTTGTCCGCGACTGACTAATTCATTATTTTTAGTGTTGTCCGCGACTGACTACCTCGTGTATTTTTAGTGTTGTCCGCGACTGACTAATTCATTACTTTAGTGTTGTCCGCGACTGACTACTCTGTGTAATTTAGTGTTATCCGCGGCTGACTAATATGTGTAATTTTAGTGTTGTCCCGCAACTGACTACTTTGTGTATTTGGTAAAATTTGCTTTACAGCAACCAAAAGAATCTTATAAAAATGTGTTACCTAACCTAATGCAATATAAGAAAATGATCATAGAAAAGTAGTTCTATCGATTGTTTGTAGTGAATTTCCGGAATTCTGTGGTTGCTGTTTACTGCAATATTATCGTGTATTTTTAGTGTTGTCCACGACTGATTATATAGCTTGCTGAAATTAATAAAACAGCTAAGTTTAATAGAGACTATAAAGTAAGTCATAGGCAGGGAACCAAGTTATTAAACTCTGGGCAGGGCCGGATTCAGGAGGGACAAAGTGGCAGCTGCCAGGGGCCTCCACAATCTGGGGGCCTCCACATATTACAATATTTTATTTATTTGTTCATTCAATTGGATAATTTTATTTTCATTCCTTAAAATTCATGTTTATCTATCCTTTTTGTGTGTGTGTGTGTGTGTGTGTGTGTGTGTGTGTGTGTGTGTTGGGAATTTGTGCACTATAAATAAATATACAGTTAATTAAAAATTTCTCAATGTTCTAATTTCCTCAATATAACTGCATATGGCTTCAAAATTCTCCAAAGTGTTCCAAATTTCAAAATTTTCCGGGGGCTTACAGCGCCCCAGGAACTCCAGATGTTGGGCTCGCTTCAATCGCCATCCACCTCGTGGGTAGTTATAATGAGGGGTACAAAGAAGGCTGCCATGGGCCTCCACAGGTCTAAATCCGGCACTGCTCCTGGGGCTTTAGTCGTTTAAAAGTTTCTGTGGTGAGCAAATCATCCTAAATCAACGTCATTAAATGATTGTTCAACTCTTAGAGGACGATGAATTCTCCAGTTTTGTTAAGGAAAACCAGTATGACTATCAAGTAACGACCGACAGCATCAGAGCCGGTAAATTTGGTGAAATTAGGGCGGAGGTAAACTGTAGTGAATCAACCTGCCACCAGGGATTTTCATCTCCTGAGGCAGGATGAACTGTTTGGTACCGCTTGTTAACTAGTGTGTGTGAGGTCGTTACTATTGTCAGCCTGCTCAAGACAACTAAGGATGGAAATAGAACACATGTATACTACAGTGTCGTCCTTGAGGGTTGATCTCTTCACAACATCAATTGTCATTATTTATCTATTGCGCCTGTTCGTCTGTTTGTGTATGTAAATAAAAGATCATTTCTGCATCAATCTTCCTTCAATGACCAACAAATATATTGGTACTGTATTTATAATTTTTATAATCTGGTCAAACCTGTGTTTATTGTATGTGTGTGTGTGTTTAAATATCTATACATATGTATGCTCCAGTACTGATTTTCACATGTGATTGTGTGGTGTAGGTATGTGTGTGTATTTAAATGTATGTTTGTATGAGAACAAGTGTATATACATATGTATGTGTCTGTATAAACCTATATACTTATGTGCATACTTACAAATATGAATATATATCTCTATATGTATACACACATCCAGTATCAATTTCGGATCTTTACTTCATACAAAATAAGGATAAAATCACAAGGGACATTTATAATATATATAATTTATTGCAAAAAAGCAAATTGCGATACGTAAATATAATCTCTTTTACAAACATGTAATATGTCATGGATATCTCACCTTTTAAAAAAGTTTGACGTGTATTACAAAAAATATATAGATAATTCTACAATAAATACTTTTGTCTTATATAGTAAATATATATATATATATATATATATATATATATATATATATATATATATATATATATATATATATATATATATATATATATCCATTTGAGCGTTTGCAGAGAAAGAGAGAGAGATAACTTTGTACATTACAAGGTCGAAGCATAATTCGTTGACTTCATAGAGAGATAGAGAGAGATAGAGACAGAGAGAGATATGAAGTCCTTCGTTGTAACTTTTCGTGGGGAGGAAAAAGTATATATTGGACTAGTTTGAGGGAAAAGAATAGAGAAATTATTTACAGTGATTTAACAGGCAAGACCACAAGACTCAGACGCGACGAAACAACCGGGGGTCTTCACTTTTTACCTGGGAGAGACTTTATACAAGGTGTAACTACCTGGGAATTATAAGTCCGCACAAGAACTTTATCTCCAGGTAGTTTGTTTCGGGTTATTCATCGCGTTATTCACTTGTCCGTCAAAGGCCACGAGTCTGGTGAGGAGGAGGAGAGAAGAGGAAGAGTACTGTTGTTCTCGTCCCGTTAACAGGAAAAGGAGTTAATTTCTGTTGTATGGATAAGGAACAACACGGCTCCAGCGTGAAGGTACGGCAAACTGTCCTCACTCTCTTCCTCCTCTTCGTCATCATCATCATCATCTTCACTAGATTCTTCGCTGACTCCTCATCATCCTCATCAGACTCTTCAGACTCATCAGACTCCATCAGACTCATCAGACTCCATCACTTTCAGCGGAGTATTCATAATCATCCTCCTCGGCGGCCTCAAGAGCCTTTTCTAAGCCCCTCAAAGAACGCTTCCTTGGCCTTCTTCACGTCTTCAGTGTCCTCAGGAGCGGTGGAAGGGCGTCACTTCCACCTGGTAACCATCCTCGTCAGCTTCGTACTTGAACTGGTATTCATCACCTTCAGGAGCCACAAAGGCGTACTGGCCACCACTTTACCTCTTCTTCGTTGCGTTCTTCGGCACGTTCACTGTCGCCAACGTGGTACACGAAGCTGTGGATTGATGACAGAGAACACACAGTTACTATATAATTCTCGTGTTATATAAACTATAATATATCCAACTATACACTGCTTTAGTTAAAACATATCGAGGTATTATATAAGTTATCTATGCATACATTTATCATAATCTATCAGTTATCTGCATGTTATCTAATACATTATATATCACTTCGGTTATTTAGTGATCGAATATACTAATATATCCAATTATAGAATACTTCGCTAAGGTTAATGAGTTGGTATATCACTCAGGTGAATAACAACTATACACTTCATATAACACTTTGGTAAGATTCTTTCATTACTACTATTATCACCACAACTACAACCACTACTACCGGCTACTACTACTATTATCACCACGACTACTACCACTACTACCACGTACTACTACTATTATTACCACAACCACAACCACTACCGGCTACTACTACTATTATCCACAACTACCCACTCTCCACTGCTACTACTACTATTATCACCACAACTACAACCACTACTATCACTGCTACTACTACTATTATCCTACAACCCAAACCACTACTACCACTGCTACTACTACTATTATCACCACGTCCACAGCCACTACTACCACTTCTACTACTACTATTATCACTACAACTACAACCACTACTACCACCTGCTACTACTATTATCACCACGACTACAACCACTACTACCACTGCTACTACTACTATTATCACCTGCCAGCCACAATACTACTACCACTTACTACCTGCTATCACTTACTTTCTGTTTACTACACCATTGCTGCTACTACTATTATCTACATTCCAACTACACTACTACCACCAACTGCTACTACTATTATCACCCATTTACTACCCACTACTACACTGCTACTACTACTATTATTACCACAAGCTAC